ATTTCCACAAAAAATGCTAAAGATCTTCATCATTTATGAAGAAGCTTAATTTAGATACTATCAGAATAACACCTGTGCTATTTTCATTATGCTTTTGCTTTTGTTCATCATAGCACTAGTACTAACCTCAATAGCACCTGTACTAATTTAGATTTTTCATGCTCTTTTTACATTCTCAATTCTAAACCCTTTAAAACTTATAGCTTAGCTACTCTTTTCATCTGCAATCAATTATGTTCATTTTATAACCTTCTTAGAATCTATCTAAACATAATCTTTGCTTGGATCAAACTCTTTATGACTCTTTCTTAACTCATAACACCAATGCTAAATGGGAACATCGGCATAAAAATTCACCTACTTTTGTTAAAGCATATAATATTTACAGCTATTACGTTGTGTAAAGAGAACTTTTACCATAAAGTACTGTTACACTGCTTCAACCACCAGAGAAAACTCATAAAATGTCAAATATCTAGAAAAGCTCAAAAAAAAAAAAGAAGTGGAAGATGAGTAACTAATATCCAATGCAAGGATTAATGAGTCTAACGAATCATTTACGATTGTCAATCATAAATAGGCTCATTTATGAACAACGAAGATAGAGAGTTGTATAGCTACCAAGAAAGAAGTTCTATCATTAATTCACATTCAATTTTATATCAATTTTTAGTGTAACATTTATTTCTAGTGAGCTTTACTAATTACATATTCACTCTTTGGGAGAGTTCATAACAGTAGTAGTTCATTTTTGAATGTATTATGTTTATTCTTGTTTTATATCATCAAAACATAGAAACTTAAGCTTGGGGAGCTTAAGAGTATTTAATATTACCTTTGTAACGGGAAGAGATTGAGCCTTATTAAGAAGTCTATTAATGTATCAAGGCAACCAAGAGTCCGATTTAATCTTGGTGATATAGTTGAAAATTTCAAGAGGTTCCTGAGAACTGAACATAGAATCAAGTAGTAAAACTCAAACTAAGACAAACCATTTGGGCAAAACTCTTCTCCTACCTCTCATGTTTGGTAATATCATTCCTACATTTCTCTTGTTATTTTTGTAAATTTACTTTAATTTTTAATTAGCCCAATTCACCCCCTCTTAGGGTCTTTTATAGGAAGACGATTCAATTGAGCATCACTATCATGTCAACTTATTTATTGTTATCATAGATACTTAATTATAAGAAATGAATAGGCAGATTCAATGAGACTTCAATAAAGTTATTAACTCTTGTCTTAGCTTTGGATCCAAAAGATGGCTATAAATTATTCAATATTGATCATATTTGTGAACTGGCATCAAGATTTTATCCAAAATGATTTCACTGAACAATAGAGGATACATATAGGAAGAAGGCACATTATGGGCATGACATTCCTCACCATCTTGATTTCAAAAACATCTCAACAATTTCTCAACTATGCCAAGGATTGAAAAGAACTAGGAAAGTTGACAATTGTCATTTGATTGATTAGTTGTTGTAGCTATCGTTGACTTTTCAATTTCAAGTGCAACAAATAAGAGGTCATTTTCAACTATGAATATTCTAAAAAAATAGCTGTAGAAATAGGATGGATTTTCTTGCAAATTGTTTGGTTACTTATATAGGAAGAGATATCATTGAAAAGTTTAACACAGACTCAATCATTGATGAATTTTATGATATGAAAGAATGCCTAATTTTACTTCGATAAATTATTGAAAGGCGTGTTATAGATTTTAATTATTTTAAAATTTATATATATATATATATATATTAATTCCCTTCCAATCCCCCCCCCAACATCCAATGTTGGATTGGTGCCTGGCCTTAATTCTACCATGATATTTAAAGCAAATTTAATTAACTAGCATGAGCCCTTTTTATGATAGAAAAAAGTTTTCAAGAAACATTCAAAACCACCACAATAAAAAAGGCTAAAAGTTATCTTTTTCCAAACACATACATACATACATCAGACACATGTGCGCATGCAAATTTTCCAACACAAATTTATATCACACAAGTAAAAATAATGAATAAGGAATATGTAAATAAAACAAAACAGCACAACTCATAACCTCCAATCAAATCCCCTTACCTTGGGCCCAAAAATTAAAAGAATGTACATTCCAAATCAAACATCAACAAGTGTCAAATAAACAATAAAAAATAAATGCAACTATTCTTATGGCATGGTAGCAGGGTTGGTCTTTGAGCCATTCTTCTTACAGAGTTGGTAGTCCTTGGGCTTGTCCCTTGTCGATGCTCTACTAACTATTCCTGCAACATTTAAGCATATATTGAGTGATTTTTCTCTTTGAGATATCATGCCAAACAAAAAAATAGGGGGTAAGATAATGCCTAAGCCTCTTTGAAGGTTACGGTGTAATTTAGGTCGATGAATAATTTAATTTAGTGGGTTTTCACAATCAATCATTAATCAATGTAATACAATTTATCTCAAAATATTTTTTAATATTACTGTGATAACACGCGCGTGCGTGTGACATTATACATGTTTATATAACAATTATAATTATATTGATTCATATATTAGGCTATATAATATCACAAGGATTCCTTTCAATAACAATTACACATTTTTATCTCTTTTTGGCACCTTATCTCCCCTTTATTTTTTTAAATTGAGATTCTAGGTAATAAGAGATGGTAACTAACCAAAAGTCTCATCACTCCTCATCAAGCCTCAACGTCTCCCGTCCTTTTCTTTCCTTTTTTTTTAAAAAAAAAAAACAAGAGTAATCAGAAAGCTTTGAGAAATAAAACAATGACAACTATAGATGAGTGAAATCAGGATTAAGTGGATGTAAGTTAACCAATCTCTTGTCTGCCAAAAAGCTTTCCAAGCATTAGGCACGAGGAGTACTTGGTTTTAGACAGTCTCAACCCACCCTGGAAAAATCTGTATACCTCCCATAAAATTTCCCCTCGCCTGCAATTCTCTCTTCTCTCGCGTGATTTCTCTCTGCCGCCATGGACGCTCGCTCATCCGTTCACTGAATTTGGATAACCAGTGGTGGGCCACCTGCCCACCTTGTTTTGGTTTCCTTGTTTTTACTTTTCTTCTTTGAAAAAAAATATATATAACTATTAATTTTTTTATTTTTTCCTACAAAATAATTTTTATTTTCTTACTTGTTCTTTTACCATTTACCTTATTTTTCCCTTTTATCTTGTAGATACTTTAAATTTTCTATTATAATTTATTTATAATTAATCAAAGTTCATTAAAAAAAAATTAAATCTTAGCTGTATTCATTTTTAATATAATTTAAATAATATTTAAATAAATGTAATTTCTTAAAAAAGTTAATATTCTATTTATCTAATTTCACTCAACTTTATAAATTTTTCCTTCCTAAGAAATACTATGTCTTGACATTAAATCCTCAAAATAATTTCATGGTAAATTCAAATTACCATAGAATAATTAATCAAGTCCTAAAACTTCAGATGTTACAATTTTTTCCTAAGTCCAACTGTCTTAAATTATCTTAAACAAGACCTTATTCTATCATTATATCTAAAATAATTCTAAAAGACTTTCCGAAAAAGGAAGATTTTACATTCATCATTGAGAACAAAGTTCCTAGTTTGAAGAATAGCACTGATGTCGTTCATCGCCCATGGTGCTTGTCGTCGATGGTGTTCGTTGCGGGTGTGCTCGCCGAATAAGGGAATTTCTTAACGCGTTGTTCATCCTGTACCTCCAAAAAAGGGGAGGAGTTGGGGGGGGGGGGGAATATATTCAAAGTTGGTGAGGGAACTTAATAAGATGTTTGTGACTTATAAAACGGCCATGCTTCTTAGTAATTTCTCTCTATGCTTCTTGTTATTAGAGTATTAATTATTTTCATAAAATTAGAAAACTAGTTAAATGTCAATCATTTCTACAACTTGTTCAAATTATCCTTCCATTGTAATACTTCATGGAAGGGAGAGGAGGCTTAAAAAGCTACTCTCATGATTTTCAAATATAAAAAATTTCAACCAACTCATACAATTAAAAAAATTAATGTTTGAGCTAAAATACCCTTGTAACTAATGTTTACTTCTTCTTTTTTAAATCTAGTGACACTATCCATTTATGAGAATTAATTTATGAAATATGTAATTAATGCTTATTGAAATTTACAATTTTTGTTGTAATAAAAAATAATAAAAACATAGGGTAGTCTTCCTTATAATAAAAAACAGGAAAGGAAATATTTCTTCCGTGTCAAATTATAAGACACTTTTAGATAAAATTTTATATATCAATAAATCTCATTAAATATACCTAATTTTATCTTTCCGAAACAAAAATATAAACTTTTAAAAATACCCATCATTTAATATATTGAACATAGAAGGGATAGAACTTAGTTATAAAAAGAAAAGGGGTAATATTGTAATTGGCACATTTAATAAAAACTTAATCTATCTAAAGTGTCTTATATTTTGGAACGAAAAAATACCTTTAAAAGTATCCTATAATTTGGGACGGAGAGAGTATTATTTAAGAAAATTGTAAAAGAGAAATGAGTTATAAATATTTCATTAAATATAATAAGAGATATGGATTAAAAACCAACGAATAAAGTCTTATAAATAAGAAGACAGAAAGTACCATTTAGTAAAGCCAAAAATGAACTCAACAATCACTAAAATTTATGGACTTCGTCAAAACGAAATTTCTTAATTTCGATTTTTGTGGCAGATTAGCCATGGCCACTTCATCCCATACCAGCCATATGACCCATATCAATAAAACAAATATCAGACCCGAAATGTTAAAAAATAAATCAGAACCCACAAAAGAAAAGGGCAATGAAACAAAAGCGACTCTTGTTTCCTCAACATAAAACGCCTTAGATGCAGTGCTCTAGAAAGGTGTAGCCTGAATGAAGCAAGGCGTTATTATGTAAAAATGCATAATGTACACCCCTGAAAGATTCCAAGTATGTTCCTTATTTGAAAGTGAAACTCTTGAGTACATGGAAAGTTTGAGTCAAAATGAATATTTACATGTTACATTTTTATCAAATGAACTGAAGTCTAGTCCATTATCTGTGTCCTAAATTTGAAATCCCAAAGAAAGTCTTGAATTCGTAGCCCTCGTATGAATACAGGACAATCCATTGTTTTTATGCGCTGAATTGAAAGTACCAATGGCGTTTCACCGGCTACGTTATATTGGAAGACATCATTTTCTCAAAAGAAGCAGAGATCCACGCAGTACGAGAAAATGAAATCTCGGACAATGTTAAACAATATCAGATCCCCATTTGCATCAGCAAATATTTGGTGGATCTTGCTAGCTTATCTTAATGAAATAAATAAATAACCAAATACACCTTCGTTTGTTCATGAAGAAACAGTAAGAGCTCATGTTAGCAGAGTTTGAAACCAAAACCTGAATCCCGAGGCAGCAGTTTGATATATTCTCAACATCAAATTTTTGGTCAGCTGCACAGTGCAAATATCAAGTAAGGTAGAAGGTCTGATTTGCATGAGATCTTCAACTCAAGGATGCCTGCAATGTGAATCCAAAGGTGGGCAAGGAATTATTCACAGAGATGTGGAGGCAATTCATCTATACATGTTGGAAGCTGTTAACTAAGGCTTGTCAGTTGTCACTTTCACTGAAATAGCTTAATCTATGTTGGAAGGATACACTATGCACTTGTATAGTTGTGATTAATTCTTAATCATTTAATATGAAACTATCATACATCTAATATTCTCTTTACTATTTATTCTTTCCTTTTTGTTTTTTTAAATATCAATTTCTTTTAGTCCCAAATCAATGATACCATGTTAAGGTTTTACATTAATCACAAATTACAACTTGTTACTTACACCAAAATAGCTTAAGCTACTTTGGAAAGGCTTACCACACACTTATATAGCTGTGATTAATTCTATAATCACTCAATGTGGAACTATCATACATCTAATAACTGAGCAATTAGTAAAGAACAAATTTAGATTTAGATACACTTCTTCAGTATGTGCTAACAGATTCTGAATCAAAAATGTGACATATGGATCCAAATTAAATATGACAAAGTTACCAGCAACATGTGAGGCGAACAGTGATTGAAGTTTCTCTTTCAGTTTGTTCTGTCCCATATAGTGTTGTCAGCTAGTTACTGCCATGAGAATGGATTGATGACATTGACCTTCCTGATATAGAAGCAGTAGGGCTTGTAACTTCCCTCTCTGCATTGCCAAACGTGGCTTTCCCATTTATCATCTCTACAGCTATTTGAGAAACTTCAACAAACCATTCATCCTCTGGCAGCACACTGCAGTGATAAACTCAAATTTTCAATGAAATCGTGATACAATAATACAATGTTTGGTAGGTAGAAATGTGTTTTCTAGAAAAGAAATGCATTTATCTCATTTTCTTTCCAAGTACATTTCTCATTTACTTTCTAGAAAACACTTTCCACGTACCACATATTGTCTAACAGTTTTAATATAAAAGACCAAATCAAAACGTCAGCTAACTGTTAGCTAGGAAATAAAGCAGTATGTTTCCTATTAATTTGATGATGAAATACTTTTATGATTTGCCATTTAAGAATAAATGTGAATATGAATATTATATACATTTGAAATTCTGCTTCTGCTAGATGAATGTACCTGTTAGGATCTAACCCAGAAGCGGCAACAGCGTCAATGGCCCTAGCAATCATGTTTTTAATAACTTGAGAAAGCTGGCGAGATAAGTAACGACCTTGGGATGTAAATATTATCACAAACTGCATATCCAGATAGAGCTGCACATTTTGTCAAACAAAAAACAAGTGAATTTGGAGTATTTAGGCACTAAACCAAAGTTTGTTTGATACTCATAATAGAAAGAATAAAAAGAAAAAAGAGAAAGGAAAAAATACTATGGATAAGAAATGATACTCAAGTTTTTACTTGAAACAAATAGTAGAAAAGATAGACGATATTAAATAATGATAATTGAAACATAACAAATATATATTGCCAAGAAAAATTAATTTTTATCTAATTTAAAAGCTAGCTTTAAGAACGTGTTTTAGAGAATCCTTAGAGCCACTTTCATTATATTTGTGCAGATTACTTGAATTTTTTTATTAAGTAGAATGCCGAGGCACGTTTATAAAGTTTCGATAGCCAGTAACTAGCAAACGCTAGTCTTAGTACAAGACACTAGATTCCGCTTAAGCACAATGACTTAGGTTCGAGTTCACATGCATGCAAAAAACAACTTTAGGAGAACTCCTTCTAGTTTAGGCTTACCAAAGCTCAGGTCAAGATTAATCGTAGATTGAGGGACCTAATAATAGGATCTTGTTGCCATGGGAGGGAAAAGGGAAAAAAAGGCGGGGGGGAGCCTTCAACAGGTTTTTTTTAAAACCCCCAAGTATCTTTAAAAGAAACTTGAAAAAATAATAATATTGGAGAACTCTGATACTCATCATGCATTAATGCCTACCTGGCTGTAATTGATGATATCACAATAATATTAATTACTTATCCTTTATTTAAATTTGGGATAATGAAATTTTCTATCCCTCAAGTTTACTTCAATTATTCATTAGATCCCACAAGTTTAATTTTGATCAATGTAGCCTTTTACGTTTTCTTAAATTATTATATTAGTCTTTTAAGTTTTAAAACATAAATTAATTATCAAATTAATTTAATGTGCAAAGAATATTGATGACTTAACATTTATATGTATTTAAATAAGAATATATTAATCCTCAAATCAGTTTAATTTTTATCAATCTAAACCCTTATATTGCATTTTGTTATTTTGTTTTTGAAAATTTGAGTCTGTTTTTTCTTACCTGTATAATTACACTTCTTTTCATTAATCTACATAGTTACCATTAATATTCCCTCATTCATGTCAGTAAATTTTAACTGTGTTATTTCCTCTTTAAAACAATAAGAACCAAATTGATGATTAGGGCAAATTTAAGAGACAAAATAGATAAAAATTAAACTTGAGAGATTACATCAATAATTGAGACAAACTTGAAAGACTAAAAGTTTTATTATCTCTTTAAATTTTATCTAAAAGTTGATAACATGTGAACTAAGCAAGCCATAGGAATTTGGAATATTTTGGGTTTGCAAGAGAGTTTTCCTAATTAATTATGCCAAACCTTTTCATTCTGGGAGCTCCCAACATTACTTTTACATCCTTATAAAACCATATTTTAAAATAGCTTTTCCATCCAGCTTTATAAAATATTTATCAAACACTCGACCTACTTTAGGAAGTAAAATTTGAATGAAATGAAAATTTCTTTAGCATCCATAATGCATTAGTCCATTCTTAGTTGATAGTGGTTTCAAAATTTGAATAAAACAAAATTTAAATTCATCAAACAAAGTTAACGTCATGCTTTGTACACTAAAGAATTTTCCTAATTAATTATAACGAGCCTTATCTTTTGGGGATCTCCAGCATCATTTTAACATCCTTCTAAAACTATAGCTTTAAAATAACTTTACTGTTCAACAATATGCATATCAAACGCTTAACTACTTTTGAGAGCAATTTTTCAAATAATTGAAAATTTCAATGATATCCAATAGATACAAGATTTTTCCTAACAAACGTGCAAGATTAAAGCAAATCACAAGAAAAAAAAAGAAATACCTGTCGAAGGCCAAAACCACCTAAAGGTACTTGACCTGCCTCAATCTCATCCCAGAATGCTTGATCTTCAGAAAGCCACAGAATCACTGTTTCTGACATTCTCATTAGTAAAGTAGTAGCAAATCTTTCCCTACCAACAAACATATCTGTAGCGATGCTTGCCATTCGAGAAAGTTTTAAAAACAGCTCCTACAATATCATGAAGTGAAGGCCTACCCTTAGACTTTAAATTAAAAAAAATGAAATAAAATAATACTAGTTAACAAAAAAATATTAGAACATCAACTACCCTTGCCTCACCCCCACCTTTTGTTACTACATGAGATGGAGAACGATGAAAGATTATTCTAACTTCGTAAGTTCTGTTTTAGTTTCATAGAAGCATTCAGTTTTCATTCACAAAAAAAAAAAAGTGAAATAAAACTATAATAACCCAAGCACATATGGCATCATCAAAAGGGAACAAATCAGTAAATTTGGTTCATAAAATTTATAAATTTGGTTTATAAAATCTAGTAAACTAGTTTACTCATAGATCAATGCTATATTGCATAGAATGGGTACGGATATCCGATCCGATACGGCGATACAACTAATTTTCAAAATTGTAGGATTCGGGTATGGGAATATTTATAATATATATTTCAACATTTTATGATATAAGTATAGGTATTTTGATATTTAAAACAAGAATTTCTAAAGTAATATAAAGATATTTACAACAATCAACCAAAATATTATGTTTTTTCAAGTTTTTAAGTGATATAGTAAAAAATTATTAAAAAAAAACTATATTACAAGTGTTAGAATATGAAATACATATGCTGAAATATCTTATAAATATTGTATCGGATACGGATGTGTTTACTTTTTTAAAGCATTGGTGCTTCATGCCATAAGTATGTTCCTATGAAAGATTCTTCAGGTAGACCCTATCCACACAAAATTTGAGACATTCTTGGGTACAAGATTCAAAGGAAGTCCACCGCGTTAAAGTAGTATATCTTACTCTAGACTCTTAAATTATTTACGAATGTGGTTCACAGAGGACATGGTAGAAACTGTTTATTAAAAAAATAAAGTTGCAAGCAATCCATTCACGAATGGACATAAAAACATATCAGAGATGGGCGGGCCCCATAAAAAATTGTGTTTGACATGCTTATATATTTCTTCAAGATCAACTTTATCCGCCATTTTTTAGTAACGCGTCTTCCCAAAACCTTCTGTGGTCCCATTGAAGTTGAAAATACTCCTACATCATAATATGGTTAATCTCTATTTAGTACTCCAGTCCCAAATATAAGACCATTTTAACTACCTTCACAAGGATTAAAAAAAAAGTAGTTAAAAGTGGTCTGGTATTGTTAAAATGGTTAAAAATTATCACTACTTTCTAAGACTACCCTCTAACCAAAATCTATCCATCTTAATTACCTTTAAATTATTTCTTATATAATCTGTCTTTACAATACAATTACTAAGGGCATCTATGAAAAAGAAAAATTTAATACAATTGACTTTTTGTAAAGTATCCTGCATTTAAGGGCAACACTAGCCAGAAGAAAATGTCTTATATTTTGATGCAGAGTCTGTATGCTGTTTTCTAGGAGATACTTGTGAATTTGCTGGTGTTGTCTTGCACTTAAAACCGTTAATTTGGATTTAATGATTTGGATTTGATAGTTTTTAAAAGTACAAATTAATTTGTATTGTTAAAATTTGACACCAATGATTCAGATTTAAAGTGAAGGTGCAGTGAAAAGAAAATGCAATGGGGAGAAACCAAGTCTAAATTTGTCACAGTGAAAGCAAATTTACCTGAAAAATTGGAGAAGGAAACCAATCAGGCTCCTCTGCATGACTATCCATACTCAAATACATCAATGCATTCAAGCGTGTGTTCCCATCTTCTGTGAAAATGAGTTCAAGAGCATGTTGCCTGCAGAAGCTATCTCTTAGGCGATCAACTTCACGCTGGAGCCTTTTCTTCAGCTCCCTCTGTTCAGGAGCCTTCTGATATTTCTCCGGTGCACCTCTTTTCTGAGATTCATCACTTTTGGTGCTTTGAAAAACCTTCACAACAGCACGTGGGATCAACTCATCCGCTAGCAACAATGCATTTGCCAGCAATGCCACTTGTTGTGCTTCTGTCTCAGCTACCCTGACAATTTTTGGCCCTGTGCCTTCCAGGTTCTCAGTTTCCACTGAACCAGGTAGTGCATTTATTAAGAGATTGGCATAGGATTTGAACAGCTGAAGAAGACCTTCATATGCAAGATTGTCCAACTCTAGGAATTCTAGAGGGCCAACATCTTCGAAAAACTCCTGAATTCAGACAGTGGAAAGCCGTATTAATGAAATGCCAAAAGTCAAGAACATAAGCATAGCAGAGGATGGTAATGAAGAAAGAAAATAATAAACAGAGTGAGCTTCAATGATGATTAATCTGATGTTAACAATTACAATATGCAACTGGTTGTCGCTAACTTGCTGGATAAGATTGGTTTTTGCAAAGTAAAAGAGGCAAGCTCAACATTGCTTTTCTATTTTTTTATTTTTTGACTCAGAAGCTGATATGGATATTCATCAGGACATGATACAAAATATAAACACGTAAAACTTAAAATAGAATGTGACAACACATATATCTGGGCATATGCATTAGAGTCGTATTCATATCATAACTAGTCTCAAACTCCTTTGAAAATGCACGAAAGCTTAGAAACAAATGAATTGTCACTCCAGTAAATAGTAAAATAAAAGTATTTTTTTATTTGTCAAACAGTACTTCGATATTATATTCCAAAAAGTTCTACTTGATGATAAGACGTTAAACCGCATGTTTCAAATTCTTCAACTGACAAAAAAAAGAAAAAAAAAAGGAAAGAAAGAAAAAGAAAACTCAGGAAATAACTAAATTATTAACATTTGTTATTTTATTTGAGTCAATGGTTTATGGTTAAGATCTCTAACAAATCTTCAAAAAATGCCCATCGATCTTTAAGTGTGGACAAATTACAGTCTCACATACTCTGTACTGAAGCTTAATTTCAATCAAGAGAATAGAAGGCAGCAAAGATCGAGTTTATGACCACTCGGTCATAAAGCTCTAATATCATGTCAAGAACTACTGCAATTCTAAAGTTCAATTGTCATGCGCAAAACCATTATTCCTTTTCTTAGTATCTCAAGAAAGAGCCATTCAACGTAAAAACCTGAATCATTGAGTTAAACTTCTGAGCACTGCTAGAAAGCTTGGGTGCTTGGGATGCGTTCATCAACGAAGCAGCAGAAGTTAACCCAGAAAGCCTACTGCTAGGTGAATAAGCAAGCAACCAATCATCTGCAGCAGCTCTAGCAGCACAACATTGTTCAATTCTTTTCAAGTTTGTGTTCAGAGCATTCTCAACAAAGGGCCTGAATTGTTTCAACAACACAGGAGAAAGTGCTAACCCTTGAGCCTCTAAGATGTAACAGTGACTCAAGCAAACTCGAACACAGTCAGAAGAAACTCTCAAGCTCCCAGCAGATGCTGTAGATAGCAGAACATGTTTCTTGATGAGAGAGGCAAGGTTGTCAGCCTGCTTTACAGCCCAAGTGACTAACTCGGAAGCATATGCAGGCTCTTCTTCACCAAACACTGTTATGGAATCACTCATTGCCTGTGAAATGGTGGAAAACACAAGCTTTGAGAGTTTGGCTGTGTATGCTCCTCCACTATGTGAGACAGACCTAAGACTCTGCATGGTACGATGTAACTTCTCTTGGTGAGAGTTCAGGAGTAATGTGTGTGCACGAGGACCATCTCCTAGATTTTTTAAAGCTAGAGCAGATGAACAAAGCTCAGAACTACGAGTTGAAGGCTGGCATATAATTTCTGCAAGCTGATCAGCCAATTTGGTTCTGTGTTCTGTAATGGCAGCTTCTAATACAATTAGCGCACTTGGACTTAGAGCTTTTCTGTCTTTAATTTCTTCTACCATGGCATCTCCCTCTTTTAATTCTACCATGGCTTCTTCTATTCTTTTCTCGGCTAATAGGACTTCAAGCTTCTCAAGATAACCTGTAAGCCAATTCTCTGTCTTTGATTGGTCAGCTTTTTCATCAAGCATGTCCTCTGCATCAGAATCTTTGGCTCCAGTGATCAAAGAACCAAGTCGGCTTCTGTCTGCTAAACCATGAACCAAAGCAGCCTGAGTGGATAGGAGATTTCTCATGGAAAGCAGCTCCCCCTCAAGATCTGAGATCTCTTTTGATGTACTATGTCAACAGATTGCAGGGTGCATTAGGTTCTTGATATAATAATAGATCGTATTTTTTTGCTACAGTTAAGAAAACCATTCTCCATCTCCTTAAAATTTGCTTGAACTTACCTTTAATTCAAGTGATTTTTTAACATTATAATAAGGAAGTGGTTTAAAGTCTATTTATAGATATTCCTTATATAATAATAGATCATCTTTTCTGTTATACTTAGGAAAACCATACTCAATCTCCTTAAAATTTGCAACTTATACGTATATATCAATGATCAATTTCACTAAAAGTTGTACATGACATGTTTAGTCTTAACGTATAATTATATGGTTGCAAAGTAGTATAGAATTGGATTAAAGCAATTACCTGTAGATATTACAGCTACGAGTTTCAATTCTACTCTATGCAATGGGCGTATTTAAGATACAATAACAAAATTACCAGAAATCTGAAGTTGCAAAGCTTATACAAGATAAAACAAATAATAAAGAGATAAGTAATAATCTTGGAGATGAGTTCCATTAAAAAGTGTCTTTGACATACTTATGCATCTCTTTATAATTAGTTTAATCTTTTTTTTATCTTTTTTAATTAAGTTTATCTAAATCTTTTTTAATTAAGTTTATCTAAATTTTTCAGAACCAATGCATGTTTGAAAAGTATGTGAAGCAAGAATAAAAAGTAAAGAATGTCTTCAATTAGAGCAAACTAAAGCTGAGGAGGAGCACACATTGCTAGTTGAAATAGCAAGCACTGTTCATAATGACACAGCTTTAGTCAAAATCGAAAGAACTTCTGGATTTATGCTTTCTTCCAAGCAGTGAGCTTCAATATCTGACAAATTTTATTTCCAAATTGTGAGGGAAATACTTGTCTTCAACCGATGATTTCTAAATTGGAGCTTACCGTATGAAAGCTGAATAATTAGCAAGAACACTTTTGCGCATTTCTTCTGCTGAAGCCCTTTTCAACTCATGAAGGTAATTGCAGGCGAGTTTTATATCCTGCAAACAATACAAACACTGATTAAAAATAAAAGCAGAAGAGTGATAAATGTACAAAACAAATGGTAAACTTCAGACGTTATATAATTATCAATAGCATTACTGGCACACAAACTTAAATGGTCAAAAGCATACTACAATTTAGGAACACATTGAAGGAGAAGGATACTAAGACATCCATGAAGCACTTGTATTTCAGTAAAGTAAAAGTGTAAAATCCGTGATTGATATACATCTAATACGTGTATTAAACACAACATAGCAGTTCAAATTGTACCATGAATTTTATCATAATTGTAATTGAACACATCTTCTTAGATGGGACGTTGTGATTATTGTGCAATGACACTTGGAAGGAAAATAGCTCAATTCCTTACAGGATTACCGAAGTATTTTATCAGTAGTATTCTTATGTCGATTGTTAGAGTCACAAACTTTTGTCTCTGGGACAATTTAGCATGTAAATATGAAGCTATGACAAATAGGTTCAACAAAAACCGCCAAGATAATCTTGCTCCGCAGGCTAATCCTTCAAAACGCTTTGTAGTCCAACTAATCAATGATATCAAGAAGGAAAAAAGGGTCTTTCCCTGTTTCAACTTACGATTTGCGATAAAATTATTCTGCTAGCATATGACAAAGATATCAAACCACATTATTCCAATGAGATGCTTTAGGTCCATCAATGGCATAAAAAATTCACACATTTCCCCTATACCAGTAATGGAACCCACATTCAAAACTTGGAATTTATCGGCGCAGAGAAAAAAAAATGAAGGAAAGAAAAATGGGAGGCATAGAAGCAAACCTTCTCGTTCATGCTACGAGATTTGGTAGTGACGTATTCATTGGGATCAAAGGAAGAGTTCTTGAAGATCTTTAGCTTATCGCTGAGAGTGAGATTAGGATTAGCCTCGAGCTCTGAGGAGTCTCCCATACTCAATGAAATGGATCCTCTCGGGGTCGCGTATGGAGTGTGGTCCATTGTGTGAGTATCCCTTGAGAATAAAAAACACAAAAAAGATATTTGATTTGGTTAAAAGTGGATCATTTGATGAGATTGAGAGAAAAAGTGAAAATCACAGTAAGGAAGAGAGTTTGAATCTGGTGGCTAGAGGAAGAAGAAGAGAGAAACTCAATTGAATCAATCGGAAACAAAGGCGGCAAACATGTTTTGCAGCCATTCCAAATACGTACGACTCGCTTTGGTTGTTTTTTTGATTGGTTCCCAACTTATCAAAATAAAATAAAATTAGTGTAATACTTTAATTTAATTTATTATTAACACTTTCAATCTAATTTAAAATCATTATAAATATTAATGGAAGGATCCAAAATAAAAGGAAAGAATGGCATTAAAATTTCAAAATAATAAATTTATAATAGTTAGGTCTCAATAAAATTTTTTAAAATAAAATATCAATTATAAATATTAATTTAAATAGTTATAAATTCAAGAATTTTAATTGTAAAAAAATTTAAATTTTAAATATAATTATAAATTTATAGTTAGGATTTTTATTTATAATTATTTGAATCAATATATACAATTTTTTTTAAAAAAATTATCAAAAACTTAATTCACATAACTTCTCAATTTTAAAATTTATAAAATGTTCATGCCTATATAGGATAAAAATTGGAAGAATGACAATAAAATTTGAAAATTTAAAATTTATGATAGTCAAGTTTTCAACAAAATTTTTAAAAAATAAATTATAAATATTGATTCAAACAGTTATAAATAAAAATCTCAATTGCAAATTGAGATTTATATTTATATTTAAATATTTTATTTTCCATTATAATTCATAAATTTATAATTATTTGAATCAATATTTACAATTTTTTTGAAAAAAAAATTGTTGGGCACCTAACTATTATAAATTCTAAATTTTAAAACTTTAATGTCATTCTCTATAAAAATTTGGTTTATTTTGACGAGTGTAGTAATATTTACATGTTTATTTTGTTTAACTTGTATACTCGTTGCATTGTCCGATGAACTTGGAGCGCAATAGCTATTTATTTTCAATTTATTATTTCATTGTGTAGGAGACATCTGAACAAGAAATAATAATATTGAAGTTTTGATTGGTGTTGCTATCTATTGATGTTGGCATTTATTATCATATTGCATTGTTCAGTTTTCATGCTATTCTAGAAATTATATTATGATGTTGATTGTTCTTAATTTGTCATATTGTATTGCTAAAATTTTTAGTTGATGTTCTTCTCAATTGACACGGTTCTTGCTATATGTTGTACCATATATTGTAATATAAATCATTGTCTCGATTTAGATTTCACTTTTTAGAATACTCCATTGGTCTTATTTATATGGAAAAAAGATTATTTATTTTGATTCATTTATAGGGCACCTTAATGATTATTTTGTCTATCTATTCTTTACCCTTTTATCTCTATTAAATGTTAAGATGGTTATTTTGGGAAAAAAATATTGGGAAGTAAGGCTGAACACATTGCCCAACAACTCGAAAAGCTCAGCTCAACTCGAGGTTTTTTACCTGGCCTAAATGGAAGAAAATGCTACCCATTAATTTTTTTAAGCATGGTAGGGTTGGCCCAAAACTCAGGTTGGGCAGGGCTAAGGCCAGTATGTCCAACCATCATGCCCAGCCCAACCCAAGGATGTTATTTTAAAATGAAGACATTAAACAATTGAATTCGAGGAAGGAAACCCTAGATCAATGAAGTCAGCCACAACTCACTACTCACTTCACTTTAGTCTTCACATCTTCATTCACTTTCGCTTATCTCATCTCGTCCCTCCTTTGAAGAGGCTCCTCACAGCTTCCTCTTCGCCTCCTCGCGGCTTCCTCTTCTCATCACTCCCTCTTCGCCTCTTTGGTCTTGAGTTCAGACATCATGACTGGTTTTACCATTTCAAAGTTTTCCTTTTTATGAGTTCATGACAGGTACCTAATTGCTTGAGGTTGCAAAAGCCATATCTACTGTCAGCATGTGGTTGCTCTAGTTTTGTGAAGCTGTGTCCATTGTCTGATGTTGCCTTCCTCAGCTTCATTCTGGCTTCCTCGCTGCTCTCAACATTGAAGGTAGGTTTATGTAAGGTCTCCCTTACTATTCTCTAATTAATTCCAATTTCAAGATAATCAAAAGACTATCCTAAAAAAATTACCAAGTGTATAAATTTTACAAAATGAGGATCCCAAGTTTTTCAACATTAAAACATTTCAATAAACCTTTACAATTCAAAATCAGAGTAATTAAATTTCTGTAAAAGCATAGGATCACTCATAAGTTAAAGCATATGCAAAAACTATGAAAACAACAGAAGCTGTGTAGAAAAGCAAACATGCACCGTAGCTTATCATACATGCACCATGTCTTATATGCCTCTGTGCCATGTGCCACAGCTCAAGCACTATGTGTCGTGGTGTATTGCATGTGTTTGACAGCACTGCTTCTATCATTTGACAAAAATAGGGGCAAATTTTTGATTCGCTACATTTCTCTGTCCAACGTCCGGTTGAAGTAATCTAAAATGTTTACAGAGAGCTTTCTCCTACCTCTAACTAATGATATTAATTTTATAATCATAACATAGTCAAAATTTGGATACCCTTTTCAATTTTACTATACAACTTAGGTGCCCAATTCACATTTCAAGTGCAAAAAGACAAAATCACATCCTAAATCACACTGAAAAGACCAAAATGAAGTTATGCAATATACCACATCTTACAATTTCAACACCTTTTCAATGTTCAACCCTTAATTTCAAAAACAAAAGAGGGAGCCACAATCTCATAAATCATTGTACCACATCAAAATAAATTGCATATTTGATCACTTCTCACTTGTACTAGTATTTTGGCCCTATTTTAAAATTCACAATGAATACATATATAATCCTAAAGCCTAAAATTACACAATATAATATCACAATCTCATAGTGCAAGTAAGCCAAAAACATAAATTTCCCCTAGGTGGAAATATCATGCAAGATTATACATATTAATAATAAAAAAATGAGGCCTACATATAGGATAGTAATCCTATGCCTTAGACTGTTTCCCTATGTCTTATCCCCTTGAGCTAGCTCCTGTAATATTTAAAATTAATAAGGTGAGTACAACCACTTAGTAACCAAGATTCCTATAACTTATACTAATGCATGTCAATTAATTTAAATACAAGTGGCAAAAAAATCATTCTCAAATCATTTAGCATGTTCAAGAATACTATTCACATTTCTCATTTATAGTAGCATATAATCATGAGACAATGACTTGACAACAAAATTTCACATAGATATAAGACTAATCACATCATTTTCATCACTAGGGTCACAATACAAACAACTATGTGCCTTTTTATGCATGATCGCACTTCCCTTATATCTTCCTTATACCTCTTACATAAAACCATGGGTTATAACATACTAAGATCATCTATGAATTGAGACTACCCAAGCCATTCACACATGAAGGGCTACCTAGCCAAGATGGCCTGTCACATTTGTGGCTTACAGTTTTTCCCATCTCCCACAATGTGAGGTGTCATTCTCCTTTGATTGACTTTCTTACTGAACAAGTAGAAAACTAGCTAGGTTCAAATCCCTCATTGTACAAGTGGAATAGTCCCTCATCGACCAATTGGAACGATAAATATAAGGCAAACCATCAAGCTTTGATGGCAACCTTATCACATGAATTTCAACTCATTACTCCTCTTCTTAGATAAACTCCTACCTCTCATGATCATACGATGCATAATAATGTAACATTTCAAGGCATGTGATTACTCGAAGTACAAGCATGCAAAATATCATCATTGTACTCAATTTATGAATGAATGTCACATATACATGCATAACTAAGTCATTAAACTCCACTTTACTTCATATCATTGAACTCCTCACTATAAAATTTATTGAACTCTATAAAGAACACATCATAAAACTCCATAAAATACTATTTCCCTTTCTTTTTTCACATATCAAGTCATTGAACTTCATTTAACATATAATCATTGAACTCTATTAACAAACCACACCATTGAACTTTAAATAAACCATGTCATAGAACTATACTAACACCTTTCATAGTTTTGCATATACCACATCATTGAACTTTACAAATTTATAATAATTGCTTTTTAAGTAATTTACACCACATTTGCATTTATGACAATTTCACACACTTCAATTATGAGGTATAAATCAATAAATCAATTAAAAAATAAAAGCACAAAAAAGATTTTTTTCGATTACCTCAAACTTTTGAGAGATCAAAGGTTTTTACATTTCAAATTTACACTTTCCAAGCTTTACAAAGCTTAAATAATGCCAAAAGTGATTTCTCTAGATTTAACCACAGTATAAATCATCAATACTCCTTTTTAGATAATTTTTACTATCTAATTTAAACTTCTCCATTCTTAAGATTCAATCCTTTCACATGATACACATAGTGTTTCTTAGCTTCATCTAACTTTCATTAACTTCATTGAACTCCCAATTAGTCATTAATACATCCACATTGCCCCAACTACTACATTTATAGTGGGATTTTTAGGTATTCATTACCCTATAATTATCAAAACTCATAACACCATAAATGCTATGTTTTAATGGCTTAAACAATTTTTATTAACTCTATTTAAGTCAATAAATTTAGACCTGTAGCCTCTATGGATCAAAATCATCTTTCTTAACTAAACCCTAACTTTCAAATTCAAGAAAAATAGAAGAGAAAGAGAGATTCAAGCTTAAGGAACTTACCTTTAGTGTTTGGAAGCTCTAAAACACTTCTAATCTCAACTCTTTAAGCCCTAACAAAGCTCTTTCATTTCTCCTTCTCTTCTCTTTTGTTTCTCTTATGTTTCTTCTATATATTTTCACATCCTATATCTATATATTTGTCACCACATGTTGTGGCGCATGTACCACACACAGCACCATGTGGCATAGAGCAATATCTTGTTTAGATGGCACCGTGCACCATGACATCTTGTATACACTTCCCAACATATGGCACAGAGCCATTTCTCTATGTTTTTCTTACTTTTTCATGCCCAAGTGATCTAACCTCACTCTAAACTCAATACTAA